TGTTCTCCTGAGGCTGTGGTTGGGTTATCGACTTGGGCTTCTCCCGCAGCCGAACACCTCATGGTTAATTCTGTGTAGCATCTTTGATGTCTAATAGCTTAGAATCATACTGAACCTTCTTCATTACTGAGGGCTCTGGTTTGAGTCTTCCTCATCACTTATTTTCCCGATCACTTATTTTCACGGAATGCATAGGAGGAGCTTAATACCTCTGAGATCTCTGTTCCTCTGAAAATTTGCTTGAAATTGGCCAGTGGGTACCAAAGCGAATGAAAAAGGAAGGGAGGGAGCAGACACACACAGCCCAATCACATCAGCCATGCTAGTTTAGGAAATCAGGCTAAAAATAGCACAATACTCAGGGAAACTGTTTCCAATGTTGTACTACCACAGCAGGCTAAAGCTTGGGGTATTTTTAAGAATTTAAGCTGCATTGCAGACACATGTGCAAATACAATTACCCTGAAAAATGAAACCATCTCTGCAGAACGCAAGGACCTGAAGCACCGATTTCCTCAACGTGAAGCCTTCATTAAGTCTCAGGAGCTGCCTTTCTGCTCTTTCCAACTAGAAATCATACGTACGGTGGCGCATTGCTGCGTGTCCTCCTTGCAGAGCATCCCTGTGCTTCCTCGGACCTCTGCCCACCAGCAGCAGGCAGCATCGGGGTGAGAGATGGATTAATTACACGGGAATAAGGCTCCTAATCCGAGGAGCATGCCTGTGCCTGAACAGAGGAGAACTTTGTGTCCCCATTAGGAAAATCAAGGATCTCCCTTCTCCAGCCGCGCAGTTCCCTTCCTTAGTCCTAGTCATGAGACAATGTTTTGGAAAAAAACAGTCACTGGTCCCTACTCTTGTCTATTTTGGTGCCTAAACAGAGCTAAATTTGGAAGGGAGAAAAGTCGACTTTTTTTTGTGCAGCGAGCTGATGTAAAAGGAAATACCAGCAACTTGCAAGAAGGGCGGAGTGGCTGGAGAAGACCGAGGGTGCTGGGTGGGTGGGGACAGGCCAGAGTCCCAAGGGCACTGTGAGCGCCTTGATGACACGGCTCTTGGGTTTGTCTGGAGGCTGCTCCCTGCCACGGGTCATGCAGGCCAGCAATGGAAGTGCCCTCAAGAGAGCTGGCTTGCTGAGGACAACGTGGACCTGAAATGCAGCTCTTCCATTTTTCAGTGGACACACTCTTCATGAAGCTGAAACCCCTGAACAGAGCCAAAGGGGAATGTCTTGCAAGGCAGAAGACCACCCTCCACTCCGCAATGGGTCTACAAGAAGACCTACACAAGAGGGATGGTTTTTGCTCCTGCTTGGGCCAGAAGACACCATCACGTCCAGGTGCTCATCACCTCCAGGCAGGTTTGCAACTTCTCAATGGGCAGCAAAATCACATTTGGTCTCTCTCCCACATCGTTTTTATTTTGGTATTTATTCGCAGGTGGCTTGTGGAGAACGTAACAAACCAACATTTCAGTGCTGCTGGTTCTGGAAGCAAGGGGTGTGGGAAAAGCAAAGAACAAGGAGCCCATGGTCTTAGGAAGGACCGTTAATAGGGGTCATTTTCAATTTCGGAGCAAAACACTCTGCGGTTTACATGGTGGGAAGTTTGGAGGAGAACCTGAGAAACCCATGGGACTCCTAATGCATGTACGTGTATGTCAAGTTTAAATTATAAACATGCGTGCCGTAACAAGAAAGGCCAACAGCTCTGGAAGAGAAGGGGCATTCACAGGACCAGTCTGCTCTCCGGGCCAGTCCCCTAGAGATCAGCTACATTGTGATGTGCATATTCGTTTTTAGATGTTTTGGGGAAAGCAGCTCTTGGAGCAGGGAAGGTGATGTCTGGCAAGCTTAGGTGACTGTCATATGGCCAGCTAGCATATGCCAAGGGAAATCTGTCATCTACCGAAATTGCTGCAAACAGATGGCAGAGGGGAGCAGCTTTGACGCCCACGTGCGCTCTTTTTGTGCATTACCTTGTTAATGAAGGTGTCTGCCCAACCCTCAACCCCATCCACCTGCCCGCGGGAATCCAGAAAGCCGGCAGCTGCCTCTCCGCTGCCCCAGACCCATTTACATCAAAGTTTAATGAAAGAACAAATAAAAAGCTTTCAAGATCTTGTTGGCAATCTGCAGCAACCCAAGAGCCTCCACCTCTCCCCCACTGATACTTGCCCCTCCCCAGCAACATCCCTCTCCTGAGCCATCCCATCCCACATCTCAGCCCACTAACCTGCGGGGTAGTGGCCTGGGAGGGACACGAGGAAGAGGGACAGGACCAGAGGAGGGAAATGGTTGGTTTTAGAGCTACCCTGCTACGAGCAGGAGCTTCGCTCTCTTTTTTCTCATGCCTCCTCTGCAGCAGCATCAGCTGAAGATGTTGGAGGGAGGCACCAGCTTTGCCTCTTTTACTGGTGATAGTAAATCACGCGGCAAATCACAAGGAGATAAGCAGAAATGAGGCAGGGTTTTTTGCTGCTGCTGGTCTTTCTGTGACCACCCTTAGGTAGCAAATCCCAGGGACTCCTTTGGCATCTGACAACAACTGCCTTACAAAAGGGATGGTCCTATTTGGGACCAACCTGCACCCTCCCTCCTTCTCCTCCGCTTCTGCACTTCTCAAGTGCAACTGTTGCCTGGGGTGGCCAAATTCATGGGTGCTTCAC